GTATAAGAGACAGCAAAAATATCAATTAGATCAAAAGTTATGGACGTTTTCCATAAAAAATCATTTTTTGGATTTTTTAAAAAAACTAAAAGGAAGCAATTTTTTATATTTATCAATATGGACGGAGCAAATGGGGAGCATTATTTTGAGTTATTGATCGTTCAGAAATTTTCATCTTGCGGGCTAACTTCACGAGAGTGCCGAAACAGCATCTACATCGCTACAGGCATTTCAGTGTTACAGACAAAAGGCCGGCTTGTCCGCTCTCGGATCCTCTCTGCTGGGCTGCGTTCCAAAATTTACTCGGATAACCAAAACTCTATAGTTAACGTGACATAAACTATAGAGTTTTGGTTACCCGAGTAAGTTTTGGAACGCAACCCTGGTGTATACTCACTGATCGAAACGCCATCGGTGTCGAAAAAGGAAAAACCCTAGCAGGAAGCCGGGTTTGTGGAACGCTTTCTCCTATACATCGATAAAAGTGCGATTAGTGCGGACAAGTGCAATTAGTGTGAAGCGAAGTGCAACTACTGCGGGTACTGCCTGTCAATTCTTGCTACGAATTCTTTATAGGTGTATCGTCAACGCGTAAGAAATAAATATGAGATTAATAATTTAAGATTTATTAAGTTGTGGAAGATGACGATTTTATTAGAGCGAAATTTCAACACGTTAAATTTTGGAACTCGTCAAATGTGAGTGCATATAATTGTTACTTATTGTCATAATTTGTTCAACTTGGTTATCTGTATGTACAAGCAGTTGATGCAAGTAAGGGATAAGAATAATAATTTTAGGAATACCGGCGCAAAACAATGATTATTTTCGGCGAAACGAATATGTAAAGATCAAACATTTAAGTTTTGTAAACACGTAAATAATGCTGATAAGTTATATATATTATAAGATATTGCAACAAAATCACAGCCCAAATGTTCATAAAATATTGACATTTAGATGAAACGAGTGAATATGCCATGTGTAAAAATATTTAACATTACGTTATCTAAAATATTTTTTTAGTTTTATGTTTAATTTTTATTTATGTTTTTATTAAATTTTCTCTAGCAACTATTATATATTTTATGAAATATTTAATACATATACTTTTGTTCAATATATACCTAAATATATATTTTCTTTTACTAATCTTGATAAACGAACTGGACTATCAGACACATTAATATCTTGCTTGCTTTAAAATATATTAATAATAAATGATTTTTATCAATATATTTATGTATAAAGATATGTAGCATATAAATGTTTTACACATATTATTATTATGTTTCAGATAATTGACAATTATAATTTGTTATATACAACTCTTATTGTTTTCTGTTAATTTTGAATAATTTTAATATATTTGCAAGAAAAATTAAAAAAAAGACATTTATAAATGGAAAAATATAATTTTTCTAATAGAAACTGTGAACACTTGATAATGTATTATTATGAGTACACTGATGTAATATATGTTGTTTAACGTAAACAAGTTTATAGAAGTTTGTGATGTATTTATATACTCTATATAATACCAAAGGCTATATGAATATAATAGTACATTTCTAATAAGAAGATTTATATAAAATTGATATAACGAGTATCTATAAATAGAAGATACTTGCACAATGTCGAATTCTAAGAAAAGTTCAGAATATAATCAGGAAAAACCTGCAATTATTGAAGAGTCACAAGCAGCAGTGAACAAAAAAGAAGATACATCAGTACGACCTAAGTGTAAGCTAGATTCGCGTGGTTGTTTAAATCTTCAGGATATTCTGCTGATGTTTGATAGTCCTATAAGTCAGGAACGAGCTTGGGCATTGTGTTATCAAATAGCCAATAGTTTATCATGCTTAACAGAAAATAAGTTCTATGAAATATTGGAACTTTCACAAATTATACTTCATAAAGATGGAGATATCTGGCTTGAAAACTTAGCAGGTAATCATTTTTTTCAAATTCAGAATTCATGAATTATGAACTATTATTACAATGTTTAAAATAATTGATTGGCTATCTTATATTACAGGTTCTAAACAACCTCTTGTTTCGGAAGAGAAGGTAAATGTGTAATTTATAATAAAATATTTAATAATGAAGTATTTTCCAATAAATTTTAATTGTACATTAAATACAAATTATAATTTCTCACGCAGGCGGTATTCTCACTGGGCATGGCAATTTTTAAAGCCTTGGACTTTGGTTCTAACGCAGGAGAGGAAATAGCTTTGTTACCAGACTTAGAAGCTCTCATTACATTGATGACAAACTGCAATCGAGGTAAATAATTTACATTCTGCTTTTTTTTAGTAATGTCTAATTACATATTTAAATGAAAATTTAAATTAATTAAAAAGATTAAAAGTAGCCTTTGTTTTAAGCTGAATTAAAATGCTATATGATTATACTATTAGTTTGTGAAGGTGAGGTAGAAGAACGTCTACAAGAGACTGACGATGAAGGCATCGAGCGAGATTCTGGTGATACTGATGCAGAGGATTATGTGCTGAAAACTACAGAATCATACACAGACAGTCCCACATGTACTTTAAAAACTGTTCTTCAAGTAAGTTTATATACTTTAGTTTTCGATATAATACTTAACCATTTACAATTTGATAAGACAATTGATGAAAGCAAAATGAATATACAGCTGATTAAAGTTCTGAATGGTTAAATTAATTTGATGACAATTCAATAAATTTACTTTTATCCAGGGTTGGGTAAGTTAATATTTTTTAAAAACTAAAATAATTAAATTAAGTTAAAGTTATCGACTTACAAAATTAATTTAGATAAGTTAAAAATTGTATGAACGAAAAACTAACTCAGTTCAAATTTGCGTTAAAAAGTTAATTTTGAAAAACATTTACATTAAATTAAAATGTTATTTTTAATAAAAAATAAAATTACTCTAAATAAAAAAAATTACAATATAAATAAAATTAATTTAATATTTTATTTGTAAATTAAGTTTATATGAAACAACGAAAAATATTTTTTTTTATATAAAAATGTTTTTTCTTTTAAATAGGTAAATTTTTAACTTAGAAAAAAGTTAATAAATTAAACTTTATATATATTTAAAAATAACTAGTTGAAGTTGATAATTAACGCGTTTAAAATTAACTAAATTAAGTTAAAAATTATTAACTATTTAACTTTATTATTTAACTTCTTAACTTAACTATAGTTACTTAAATATAGTTACTATCCAATCCTTCTCTTATCTTTTAATTTCTTAATGCATATATGTATTTTGTAAAATGACATTTATTGAAAAACAATTTTTGCTTATTGTTTCAGATATGTGCAAGACATGTGCAAAGTTTACACGAAGATGCTGATAATTATTACAAAAATATGATACAAGTATTTGTGGAAGAAGCTCTTAATCTTTCCCAGTTTTTAGAAAAAGTAGTTGTTGACAAGCAATCACAAGATTTGTTCAGTCCAAATAATGTTGATCGTAGCTCAACTTCATTGCAGAACATTAATACAGTGGATTTTAATGATTGGGTAAGTTTTTCTGACCAATAAAAGCAATAGTATTTCATGTTTTCGTAAAGAAACTGATTGATTTATAGTTTATTAAAATCTATATGATAGGAAAAATAAATCTTGCTCTTAAGGCTTTCACGGGTATTCTCTTTAAAAGTGTGCGCAAAAGCAACTTAATACTATCAGGTTATTTCACGCTTTGAAGTGAACGGAGTGAATAGCATTGCTTACGAAACGTTGGCATTAACAATGAATCAAGGCATGGAGAAAACCTGTAAACCTCTTAGCATATCTAAATCTTGTATTGAAATTTTTAAAAAGACATAAAACATATAGAAACAACATATAAATAATATGTTGTTTACGATAATTTTATATAGTTTTACTAACGAAATTGCTAATTAGCATTTATTCTTGTAGACGGACATTAGAATTTGGAGGGCTATACAAGTACGTTTGTATCAATATTATTTACATATTTCTTCGTTGTAATTGCATTGTTAACTTTAATTTTAATTAATACATTTCTCTGTAATTAATGAGATAAATATAATATATATTAAGCATAATGAATGCATGCAGCATTATAAATTTAGTTTATCGACATTTATATAGAACAAATCAAATTTTTTATCAATAAAACTGAATTTTTATTTGAATAAGAGGCCACTTATGGCCTTTTATCCTGATTATCGTTTACAATAACGAGCTGGTAACTTATTTATGAATTTTTATTTATTCTTTAAAACATGATTGATTATGCAAGAGGATTATTTGTACAAATGTATTTATTCATTTTAATAATAAGAATGAATTATAGAAAGATACATTTTGTAGACTCACTTGATTTATTAATTTAATGTTTGTTATTTCTTACTATGTTATTTTGTGTCAGAACTACTGTGTAGAACTACAAAACTTTACCACGTTGTTATATCTATTACAATACTTTTGAATTAATTTCAGGGTATTATAAAACAATTATTTTACTACAACCTTCTGTAAAGTATTATAAATATCAGCAAATTTTGAAAACAGATTTCTAAGAATTACAGGAAGATGATTGTAATTGATAGATATCTGCATTTTAGAAAAAATTTTATGAAATAATACTATTTCAACAATTATATAACATTATACATTGAAAAAAATACATGTACCGGATTGTATAAAAATATATTATAATATATTATAAATATTTATTAATGATAATATCATTGTTTTTTTTTTTAATGTATTGTCAGGCTAGATTTTGGGTTCAAGTTATTAGCGAGCTGAGACGAGGAGTGAAATTAAAGAAAGTAGAAGCTAATTTGGGTTCTCGCATGTCTTCGCGCGGACAAGGAAGTCTCTCAGACTATAAGCCGACGGCATACGAGAGTCTGATGAATGATATTAGAGAAAGACGATATCATCTCAGAAAAACCCCGCCCACGCCGTCAAGAAAGGACACACATGCAATTATTCTTGAATTTATTAGAAGTCGACCACCTCTGAAAAAGGCAAGATACAATTATGTGCATACTATATAAAATCCGAATAAACAAAAAATCTAAAAAGGTTATATTTTTGCATTTAGTGCTAATTACGCTTGTTTAATTATAATTATTATCTTGAAATGATATATAATTTTTATCAGTCGTTAGAAATGGAATTAAATTTGATATATACTTACGTTGAATTTCAATTAGTACAGTACTTTGATTTTTTATTTCAAATTTATAATCGAACAATATTTATAAAAATGTATATTATGTATCTATTATTTTCGTATTGTAAAAATTTACACAAAAATGTTATTAGATACCAATATTCACTTTAATAATTATAAATGTGCAGATTGTACACATAAGAAAAGAAAACTATATTCGCTCAAGGTGAATTTTGATTAATATTAATAATATTTCTGCGTGAATTTTTATAATACGAAAATCATAAACACAGAATGTACATTTTTATAAAAATTATTTATTATTTAATTTTACACAAACACGCACACGTACACACAGTATGAATTAAGTTTGCAGTCTGAAATCATAAAAAAAAACATACGAAGAAAATCGAAAATATTTATTAATGCCATCATTCAATAGTGTCTTCTTCCGTTTCCAAAAAATGTTTACATCGCTCATGCGATGAATCTAATGTCTAAGAAAACGCTTCTTTCCTAATAAATTTTAATTCTCTTGTCACACTTTGTTGGATTGATGACACATTTTCAAATTTCATTTTTTTTATTGCAATTTTTATTTAGGAGATAAAGAAGTCAACCGACGCTAAATCAGGCGAGCAGAGAATATACTAATACAGAGATCTCTTGTATTTTCAAAATCTCAGAAACAAATTTTTGACAAAACGAGAGATTCCCGTGTTATCTTAAGGGCCCTTCCTAGTCACCGCGGCCATATTGGATTCGTGACGTCAGAAGCGAGAAACAGCGAGAAATGACATAAAGTTTGTTGCGTGCCATTTTTAAATAAAGAGGATTTGGATAAAATTAATAAATAGGATCGCTTTAGAAAACTTGTAAAAATGGACGGAAAACT